GAGCACGCACACGAGACTGGACCGGGAGTTTTCCACCGAACAGCAACAGAAGTACTGTACTATACAAGTTCCTTCTTCGGCGTCGTTAAAAAACCTTCGTGGTATGTCATGCGTGATAGCTGGTAGCTCTGAGCTGCTCGGCTTGAGCATCAGAGCATCGATACTTTACTGTACAATACTTTACACAGCTATGCTTCGGACATGCGCAGAACAGAACTGCACTTGATCATAGCCCTCTGGGGCCGTGAATGCCCCCTGCGGGGGCTTGTAGGTGGCGGTGTGTTCTCGCTCTGAGTATTGCCTATATTCTTTTGCGATCATCCAAGCACAAACAGTGGTGCTAAGAATTCCCTACAATCCTTTGACAGTTGCACCAAAACGCCATCGACATTGAGTACCAGCACATTAAAGACCCTTATGTAGTCTATGGCCTCTGGCAGAACCCCCTTCAATAAGCATCATCATGGTTCGTATCACCGCCATCATATAAAAGCCTGCACTGTAGCACTACCTCCGAATATTATCGATACTCGGAGATCTTTTGTCTGGTCTATATACTAAAGCGTCACAACGGGGCATTATTAATACACAACCCAGTATCAGTTTTTATGATAGCTCTGATTAACATTGCACGAGATCCGGTATCATGTTGAAAACTACATCCCTTTAACGCGACGCCAGCACCGTCAATCAGGCCCAGTTGTAAGGATATGCGAATCCACGTGGTAACATCAAGCTAGGTACCATCTCATTTAGCTGGGAAGTGAATATTTGATAGCGTTCCCACGTACCACACACACGTGATAGTTGGGAATGTGCTATCTAAGCACCACTTAGATGATATCCGTCTAGTATTTAGTTTATGTGTTCGAATACAGGTCTGGTATCTAAGTAGACTACTGTTCACGTTTTCTGACAAGCATGCCACTCACCCAAACGTAGTATTGGACGAGCATGGCATATAGTCGCAGTTAGTGCAGATCTAGCTCACACCTGGGTAAATTGAGTAAGCAGTCTTCCTGATGTTTACTTACTTCTCATCAATCTCACTTAGACTTGGCTATGGAATGTGTCTTTGCGATGGCTTTCTTTTCAGAAAACGTGAGTACAATATACTCACAACTCTATATATAGACAAAACTCCTAAAATGCAGCGCACCTATGCCCACAACGCTTCGATGAAATAACCTGACTCTTATGACCTGTGAAGCTTTTATTGACTCCGTGATTGATAAGCTTCATCTGGGATTGCAATGTGCAGATCCACAGAGAATTCGTGCTACAGAAGGAATATGTCTCTGTTGCACACGTAACACGGAACGTGCCACCCGGGCGATTCTGTAGTATAGCTGTATCACATTCATTCGCACGCGTGTGTGTTTGCGCACATGTGTGATACACTATGCCTGATATGGCAAAAAATGTTTGAACGCACGTGCAATGTTGTTGATGCGGACACGGGCTGAGTTGGCAAAGGCCCTCCATCCGCATGGTAGCCGGCAATGTTCAACGCTCAAAGCATGCAAGACTTCAAGATTGATGTGTTCTTTCAGTTTTTGTTTCTGTCGCGGCTTGCCTATGTTGTACAAACACATGTATACGCTCATATTCGCAGTAATTAAACTGCATTAAAGCGCATTGTACAACAAATATAACTGTATGTAAATATGTATGTATATATATATATACACTATATGTATATATATATATATAGAAGGTGCGCAGACTGGTAGATGACGATTTAAGGACAATATTCGTTGGAGGTTCTTTCAGGGGGTGTACCAAACATGTGTGTATATTTATATACACATACAAAAGCATGTATCTCTGTCAAAACTCCCTTTGTGGTAAATATCTCTCTGCCTGTCGCTCTATCTCAGTGACATCGCAATGATAATCTGATTGCAGGCAGTTCTCGAATGATGCGGGCTAAGGAGCCACGAGCAACAGCTCTTCCACTGAGCCACGTGCTGGCTATGCTTCGATCTGCGCGTTCCTTCACTCGGTCCGAGCTGTGAGCTATTACGGAGAAAAAGGCAACTTCCCGCTATTGACATCTTTCTCCGCTCGTCCAGTTTCAGTTTGACAGGAACCACAAACTACTGCCTTCGAGGTCTGCGTATTCGCCAGAAGGCTCAGTGCACGGAAAACTTGAAAACTGATTCGCCGGACAGAGTCCTGGCTTTGCCGTCTGTCGGAGGCCTGGTGGCAACAAGGCCATATCTCAGGCAGACGCGGCCAACCCACAGCCATCCGAAAGGAGCGTCTGTGCGTATGTAGGTTTGGGACAGCGCTTTCTTTCCTACGGTCCTACCCTACGTACTCAGCAGCACCGAACCGCTTGGTTCCAGATTTCTCGCCTTGATCGCTTGGAGGACGGGACGCTTGATGAGACTCTCGCAAGGTTGGCGCGAACACACATGCCGATGAACCCCTCGCCGGACATCAAGGCCGACGCGGACCAGTGGAACTAGTTCGTGCGTTGACACTGAAAAAGGCACAGTCCGCGAAAGCTCACACAGTAGCAGCCATGCTGAAAGTCTTTGAATGTCTAGGGGCCCTCTTGTTGCTTGCCAACGCTTGCGGTGTGCGCGGGGTGTGCAAGTGCAGACCACTCGAAAAGCAAGTGCCCGCTGCTTCGATCAGGATCAGCTGCAAATAGTGCACGCCGACCCGTCGGGAGCTCACGGTGCACACGGACAGCTGCTCCTTGGGATGTTTGATGTCCGTTGCGAAGGGCCGTAATTCTCATCCCGAACCTGTGGAGTCCAGAGGCAGGATGGACATCAGCAACTACTATCTGAATATCGTGATGCCTCGGTGATATGTTCACGCGCCACAAAGCTTGAAGCAACAACATATACTTGATCACAAGCTCCTCTTGATCGCAGTGCTACTCGCACTTGGGAGGCCTGCGAACGGCTCATCTTCACTGCAAAGTGCAGTGACAGGGCTGCAAGACCCAAGGGAACAGGTGCCTGTGACCGCCGCCATGCATGCTGATGAAGCAACTTAGTGTCAGCTGTCATATCACACCTTCTCAGAGTAAGGCGGCGCAATGCGGCAGACTCTCGGCACAAGAAGACCAGCCGTGGAGCCTGAGTTCCCTCAATTTCACTGTACGCCCCACGTGTGTGCAGTGTCCTAAATCATTTGCAATCAAGGTCGACCTGTAGCGGCTACGGCGTTGCACCGGGTGAGGCGTGGGCAGTGTTGGACTGAGGAAGATGATGAAAATTTTAAACAACTTTGCCATCGGAACTCGGATGCCAATCTTCCCATACATGCACACCGCATCTCGGTTTAGACATGCCTCACGATGGGTCAGATTGGGCCAAATTTCGCCTCAACTTAACTTCCTTGCCAAAACTCCGAAGCATGCTGTGCCTTCTCTTTGTTTGGTTGTTTGTTCTAGGCAGAGGCTGCAAGGACGAGCGGCAGTGTCTGCCCGGCTAGTTTGTGCATCGCAGCGAGGGGCGTCTTCCCAAGCTGCAATGGCCAGGTCGTCCTGAAGCCTGAGACTGCCCGCAGGCCGGACTGCACGCGAAGGATCGGCAGAATCACGACTGAAGTTGTATCGTCGTGAAGAGTTCCGTAACCGTGAGTTTACATCACTGAATGCAACTGACAGGTATGGTGCGGAGGCATTAGCCCGGCACCAAGTGCATTCACTTCATTGGGGCGGGAAAGGGTTTGGGGATAGAAACCCTGAACACATGAGGCTCACATCTCTGCGGCATTGTGAATTCTGTGACAGGTGATTCATCAGAATGCATCGGCAGCGATTCACAGCTGTGTGGAGTGAACTGTTTTCATGGTGGTAACGGAAACTATGAGTATAGCAACAATCGATTACGTTCACATCTTTGTGGGGTGAACTGTTTTATGGTGTATAACCAGCAAAAGTGGACATCACCTGAACATCCAACGTAGGGAACAGCTGTAGGGGATCTGAGAGCCGCATGATGTCGGATGACAATGGCTATTTGGCGTGTCTGGCGTGTGTGCGACTGACAACATTGAAGCTGCATGTCGCAAGGTCCGGAAACTGTTTCGCGACCTCACAGGAGTCAGAGACTTGGAGTTCGTAGCTTGACAAGCATATCAAGCATATTGCATTCGCCGCCGCCCTGTCGACGACTACAAAGACTACTAATAGGATCCATACTCATACTCGCAAGTATGAACGCCGCTGCTACGACCGCGAGGGCGACTACCACGAGGTGCTACTGCTGTTTCTGCTCCTCCTTACTGCTGCTGCTGCTGCTGTCGCCAGCAGCACCACGACGACGACGGAAACTACAACGACTAGCAGAAATATGCTCAGTGTGCCAAGGTTCTGGGTGTTGGTGGCAATGGTGCCAGAGCCTACACGGCAGAGTACCCGCAGGCACTACTGTGGTTCAACAGCTTGCCCCCTCGCGACAGTTCCATTGTGTGAAATATCCAGGTGGTTCGATACGAAAGGGGACAGCGCTTTGACTTGCATCAGGTGTGTGCCTGCATTCACGCGGAGAGTGTTTTTGACGTCTGAGCGCACGATTCTGCCTGGTGGCGCCACTTTTATGCCCCACAGGATGCTTTCGCTTGGGAGCAAGCCAACGAGGACAGGCCACCCGTAGCGCACTCCCTTCCCCAAAACTGTGACGCTATGCTTCCTGCCGTCAAAGGACGGGTATCAACGCCACGCTACGCTCTTGGTGTACCTGAACACAGTGGGCTTGGGCGGGTCCACCAGGCAAGCGCCGTGACGGACCTGGAGCAAACACTGCCTCTATACTTCCCCTGTCTTGCAAGCATTGCATCCCCTCGAGCGCAAAGCGCAGGTTCCCTGACTTGGCAGTGGACGTCCAGCCGCGATGTGGCCAGGCCAGACCTCTGCTGGATGCTTGCGGTTGTCGTGGATTGCCGGGATGAGTCGGAAGTCGGAAGCACCCCGAAGCCATTTCTGATCACTTCGACGTCGTCGACTTTTCCATTGCGCAGATCTTGTGCCAAGCATGGCGGAGAAGCGCAAGCGCGAGGACGTCCGAACCTTGGACCTGGTCATCGCCACACGCGAGAACACCCAGAAGCTCGGCTATTTCGTCGACGACACCGTCGTGAACCCTGGCTTAGGCATCCCCTTCTACAAGACTGTGTTGGAGGGTGCAAACTACGAGCATGCCACCTGGAAGGATCAGGCGTGCGTCCGCACCTCGCAGATCCATTGGCGAGAGGATCACAGCGTTTCTTGGCTGGAACGGCACATGGAAATGACCCAGGGCTTCATTCTCCTCGGGAAGAACCCGGGCCTGTTCGTGCTGGGTGAGCCGACCCACGACCGCGAGGACTTGGACGAGAAGGGTCGCACAAAGCCAGACCCCGACCGCACCAAAGCTTACATCATCCCGGCAGGGATGGGCTTGATCTTGAAGAAGGGAACCTGGCACGACTTCCCGGTCTCTTGTGGCCCACCTGTATCTGCCTTCATCTTGAACACCGAGGAAGTCGTTGCAGCACTGGCGTCCATGCCCAAGCCAGCACCGATGGATCACGGGGATTGCTTCAAGCTTCGCATGGCAGAACACTTCGACTTCACGATGAAGTTTCCCGATCCCCGCCCATTCGTTCAGAGGCATGGACTGGTGCCCAGCCCAATAGCCATGCCCTTGATGGGCATCGAGGGCTACGGCGCGGAGATGTCGCGGCAGGAGGTGAAGCCTGGCTGGGCCGGAGGCAAGAAGGTCACGGTCATTCCCGTGGTGAACGTCGAGGTTTTTGTTCCGGGCAGTGGTGGACCCTCCATCCAGCCCCACTTGCAGTCCACTCCGGAGGTGGCCAACCGAGGCTGGCGGGATTACGGCAACCGCCGCGGCTTGCAGCGGCTCTGCGCCATGTTCAAAGAGCTGGGGATGCCGGCCACAGCCGTCGTGAACAGCGAGGCGGCCAAGCTGGAGCACGTGGCAAAGGCCCTGAAGGAGTCCGGCTGGGAGCTTGGCGCTCACGGCCTGAACAACTCTTCGGGCGCTGCCAAGCTGAGCCGTGGTGAAGAGGAGGCTTATTTCAAGCAGACTCTGGATGATCTGCAGCAAAGCCTGGGTGCCCGACCCAAGACTTGGCTGACTCCGGGCTTCTCTGTCACGGAGCGCACGCCAGAAATCGCTGTGCAGTCTGGCATCGAAGCATTTCTGGACTTCGTGGACGATGACGTGCCGTACTACATCTCGCACGAGAGCGGCAAGCGCACCTTGTGCCTGCCGTACTGCATGGAGACCAATGACTTCTCTTGCGTTTTGACCAAGCACTTCGATGGCCGGCAGTATGCCCAAGCGATCGAGGATCACGTTCGCCAGCTGGCCAAGGAAGACGGTGAGAAGGTGGTGTGCTTGGGAATGCACACGTTTGTGGCTGGCACTCCTGCAAGGGTGCTTGCCCTGACGGAGGCGCTCGGTCGCCTTCAGCAAGTTCCTGGCGTCTGCTTCGCCACTGCGGCCCAGGTCTACACAGCCATCCAGAAGAACGCTTAAATCGTTTGGACGACACAACATGAGAAGATTGCTAGACACTCTTCTTCCTTTGGTGCGGTGTCTTTGGGAGCCTGTGCTTACCAGGAGGCATCACGCAGCAATATGTACATTTCGTGTCTCCCGCAACGCAGAGTGAACCAATGTGGATTGTCATATGAGCATGTGTGCTGTCTAAGATGGGGAATTGTCAAACTGTCATGGGAACAGCTCTGCGGTTTTGTTGCTGCATGCACTTGGCCGAACTTGTTGGCAAAGGGCTGCCGTTGAATTGTAGATAAGATCGGGTGCCTTGCATCCATGCAATCTTTGAGTCTCTTGAACCTTTGATCACTCGGACGCCTGCGCCTGGCGCGGCTACCGGGGGCAAGGGGACATTCAAGCACTGCAGCACTGCGCACACAGTTTTTCGGCAAAAGGCTTGCTGTCGAATTCTTGAAATCCCGTAAGTAAGTGTGGAATGCAGCCTGTGCAGACCTCGTGTTTGTGCTTGGCTATCTACGATCATCGGAGTGCAACGGGGAAAAATGCCAGATCGGATTCCAACTTGCCGGCTTCAAAGTCAGGAATATTGCCGAACGTGTGCCCGACTAGCCATCGTTAGCTGACCTGATTGCCATGCCGGAGAAGCGCAAGCACGAGGACACCTTGACCTTGGACCTCGTCATTGCGACACGCGAGAACACGAAGAATCTCGGCTACTTCGTTGACGACACCGTCGTGAACCCTGGCCTAGGCATCCCCTTCTACAAGACTGTGTTGGAGGGTGCCAATTACGAGCATGCTGACTGGAAGGACCAGGCATGCGTTCGTACCTCGCAGATCCATTGGCGAGAGGATCACAGTGTTTCTTGGCTGGAACGGCACATGGAAATGACCCAGGGCTTCATCGTGATTGGCAAGAATCCGGGCCTGTTCGTGCTGGGTGAGCCGACCCACGACCGCGAGGACTTGGACGAAAAGGGTCGCACAAAGCCGGATCCAGATCGCGTCAGAGCTTACATCATCCCGGCCGGGATGGGCTTGATCTTGAAGAAGGGTACCTGGCACGACTTCCCGGTGTCCTGCGGGCCGCCCTTGTCTGCATTCATCATCAACACCGAAGAGGTTGTAGAGGCCTTGGCAACCATGCCGAAGCCAGCGCCCATGAACCATGGAGACTGCTTTAAGCTTCGCCTTGCAGAGCACTTTGACTTCACGATCAAGTTTCCCGATCCCCGCCCATTCGTTCAAAGGCACGGCCTGGCGCCAAACCCGGTGCCTTTGCCTCTCATGGGCAAGGAGGGTTATGGCACTGAGATGTCGCGGCAGGAGGTGAAGCCTGGCTGGGCCGGAGGCAAGAAGGTCACGGTCATTCCCGTGGTGAACGTCGAGGTTTTTGTTCCGGGCAGTGGTGGACCCTCCATCCAGCCCCACTTGCAGTCCACTCCGGAGGTGGCCAACCGAGGCTGGCGGGATTACGGCAACCGCCGCGGCTTGCAGCGGCTCTGCGCCATGTTCAAAGCGCTGGGGATGCCGGCCACAGCCGTCGTGAACAGCGAGGCGGCCAAGCTGGAGCACGTGGCAAAGGCCCTGAAGGAGTCCGGCTGGGAGCTTGGCGCTCACGGCCTGAACAACTCTTCGGGCGCTGCCAAGCTGAGCCGTGGTGAAGAGGAGGCTTATTTCAAGCAGACTCTGGATGATCTGCAGCAAAGCCTGGGTGCCCGACCCAAGACTTGGCTGACTCCGGGCTTCTCTGTCACGGAGCGCACGCCAGAAATCGCTGTGCAGTCTGGCATCGAAGCATTTCTGGACTTCGTGGACGATGACGTGCCGTACTACATCTCGCACGAGAGCGGCAAGCGCACCTTGTGCCTGCCGTACTGCATGGAGACCAATGACTTCTCTTGCGTTTTGACCAAGCACTTCGATGGCCGGCAGTATGCCCAAGCGATCGAGGATCACGTTCGCCAGCTGGCCAAGGAAGACGGTGAGAAGGTGGCGTGCTTGGGAATGCACACGTTTGTGGCTGGCACTCCTGCCAGGGTGCTTGCCCTGACGGAGGCGCTCGGTCGCCTTCAGCAAGTTCCTGGCGTCTGCTTCGCCACTGCGGCCCAGGTCTGCACAGCCATCCAGAAGAATGCCTGAGCATAGAGACGGTGGGCACAACCGAGTTTTGTTGTCAGATCTTTGGGCAGAAGAGTTGCCCGACAATTCTTCTTGTTTCGGTGCCATTGGGGGTTCCATATTCACCCAAGGGCACCACGCAGACCCCGCGCGCTTCTTCTACACAGAGGCGCTCGGAGGTTCTGTTTGTAACACCCAGAGAGGCTACGGAGGATGCTCTAGTTGATTATACGACTTAGATTTTGCATGATGCAGCTTAGCGCTGCAGCAGAGGCTTTCATGGCAGATGGGTGCCGTGCGTCCAGTCTGTCCACGTTGAAATTCCCCGGGCCATGGTGCTTGAATGGCCGATGTGTTGTTGCAAAGCTGTCCCTAGCAGATACTGCGCATAGAAGCTACACCCGTTGTTCTTGTGTTGCCAGGAAAGGTGCATGTGCCGGGGCTCTGTTCAATGTGCCGAAGCCACACGACGTTCGACGCAGTTGATCTCAGCAGAAAAGGAAGCGGTAGATCTCCCAGCCCCCCCAAGAAAGTGCATCGACTGTTTGGCAAACGAGAAACCAAAGAAGGATCTGGCATCACCTAGCCACCAGCTGTTACCGGAGGAGTCCTGCGCCATGACACCGACTACCACCGTGATGCCAGTAGATCCAGCGCCATTGCGGCTGGTAAAGGAGTGTGCCGAACTAGCCATCGTTAGTTGACTTGACTGCCATGCCGGAGAAGCGCAAGCACGAGGACACCTTGACCTTGGACCTCGTCATTGCGACACGTGAGAACACGAAGAATCTCGGCTACTTCGTTGACGACACCGTCGTGAACCCTGGCCTAGGCATCCCCTTCTACAAGACTGTGTTGGAGGGTGCCAATTACGAGCATGCTGACTGGAAGGACCAGGCATGCGTTCGTACCTCGCAGATCCATTGGCGAGAGGATCACAGCGTTTCTTGGCTGGAACGGCACATGGAAATGACCCAGGGCTTCATCGTGATTGGCAAGAATCCGGGCCTGTTCGTGCTGGGTGAGCCGACCCACGACCGCGAGGACTTGGACGAAAAGGGTCGCACAAAGCCGGATCCAGATCGCGTCAGAGCTTACATCATCCCGGCCGGGATGGGCTTGATCTTGAAGAAGGGTACCTGGCACGACTTCCCGGTGTCCTGCGGGCCGCCCTTGTCTGCATTCATCATCAACACCGAAGAGGTTGTAGAGGCCTTGGCAACCATGCCGAAGCCAGCACCCATGAACCACGGAGACTGCTTTAAGCTTCGCCTTGCAGAGCACTTTGACTTCACGATCAAGTTTCCCGATCCCCGCCCATTCGTTCAAAGGCACGGCCTGGCGCCAAACCCGGTGCTTTTGCCTCTCATGGGCAAGGAGGGTTATGGCACTGAGATGTCGCGGCAGGAGGTGAAGCCTGGCTGGGCCGGAGGCAAGAAGGTCACGGTCATTCCCGTGGTGAACGTCGAGGTTTTTGTTCCGGGCAGTGGTGGACCCTCCATCCAGCCCCACTTGCAGTCCACTCCGGAGGTGGCCAACCGAGGCTGGCGGGATTACGGCAACCGCCGCGGCTTGCAGCGGCTCTGCGCCATGTTCAAAGAGCTGGGGATGCCCTGGAGCACGTGGCAAAGGCCCTGAAGGAGTCCGGCTGGGAGCTTGGCGCTCACGGCCTGAACAACTCTTCGGGCGCTGCCAAGCTGAGCCGTGGTGAAGAGGAGGCTTATTTCAAGCAGACTCTGGATGATCTGCAGCAAAGCCTGGGTGCCCGACCCAAGACTTGGCTGACTCCGGGCTTCTCTGTCACGGAGCGCACGCCAGAAATCGCTGTGCAGTCTGGCATCGAAGCATTTCTGGACTTCGTGGACGATGACGTGCCGTACTACATCTCGCACGAGAGCGGCAAGCGCACCTTGTGTCTGCCGTACTGCATGGAGACCAATGACTTCTCTTGCGTTTTGACCAAGCACTTCGATGGCCGGCAGTATGCCCAAGCGATCGAGGATCACGTTCGCCAGCTGGCCAAGGAAGACGGTGAGAAGGTGGTGTGCTTGGGAATGCACACGTTTGTGGCTGGCACTCCTGCAAGGGTGCTTGCCCTGACGGAGGCGCTCGGTCGCCTTCAGCAAGTTCCTGGCGTCTGCTTCGCCACTGCGGCCCAGGTCTGCACAGCCATCCAGAAGAATGCCTGAGCATAGAGACGGTGGGCACAACCGAGTTTTGTTGTCAGATCTTTGGGCAGAAGAGTTGCCCGACAATTCTTCTTGTTTCGGTGCCATTGGGGGTTCCATATTCACCCAAGGGCACCACGCAGACCCCGCGCGCTTCTTCTACACAGAGGCGCTCGGAGGTTCTGTTTGTAACACCCAGAGAGGCTACGGAGGATGCTCTAGTTGATTATACGACTTAGATTTTGCATGATGCAGCTTAGCGCTGCAGCAGAGGCTTTCATGGCAGATGGGTGCCGTGCGTCCAGTCTGTCCACGTTGAAATTCCCCGGGCCATGGTGCTTGAATGGCCGATGTGTTGTTGCAAAGCTGTCCCTAGCAGATACTGCGCATAGAAGCTACACCCGTTGTTCTTGTGTTGCCAGGAAAGGTGCATGTGCCGGGGCTCTGTTCAATGTGCCGAAGCCACACGACGTTCGACGCAGTTGATCTCAGCAGAAAAGGAAGCGGTAGATCTCCCAGCCCCCCCAAGAAAGTGCATCGACTGAATGGCAAACGAGAAACCAAAGAAGGATCTGGCATCACCTAGCCACCAGCTGTTACCGGAAGAGTCCTGTGCCATGACACGGACTACCACCGTGATGCCAGTAGATCCAGCGCCATTGCGGCTGGTACAGGAGTGTGCCGAACTAGCCATCGTTAGTTGACTTGACTGCCATGCCGGAGAAGCGCAAGCACCAGGACACCTTGACCTTGGACCTCGTAATTGCGACACGTGAGAACACGAAGAATCTCGGCTACTTCGTTGACGACACCGTCGTGAACCCTGGCCTAGGCATCCCGTTCTACAAGACTGTGTTGGAGGGTGCCAATTACGAGCATGCTGACTGGAAGGACCAGGCATGCGTTCGTACCTCGCAGATCCATTGGCGAGAGGATCACAGCGTTTCTTGGCTGGAACGGCACATGGAAATGACCCAGGGCTTCATCGTGATTGGCAAGAATCCGGGCCTGTTCGTGCTGGGTGAGCCGACCCACGACCGCGAGGACTTGGACGAAAAGGGTCGCACAAAGCCGGATCCAGATCGCGTCAGAGCTTACATCATCCCGGCCGGGATGGGCTTGATCTTGAAGAAGGGTACCTGGCACGACTTCCCGGTGTCCTGCGGGCCGCCCTTGTCTGCATTCATCATCAACACCGAAGAGGTTGTAGAGGCCTTGGCAACCATGCCGAAGCCAGCACCCATGAACCACGGAGACTGCTTTAAGCTTCGCCTTGCAGAGCACTTTGACTTCACGATCAAGTTTCCCGATCCCCGCCCATTCGTTCAAAGGCACGGCCTGGCGCCAAACCCGGTGCCTTTGCCTCTCATGGGCAAGGAGGGTTATGGCACTGAGATGTCGCGGCAGGAGGTGAAGCCTGGCTGGGCCGGAGGCAAGAAGGTCACGGTCATTCCCGTGGTGAACGTCGAGGTTTTTGTTCCGGGCAGTGGTGGACCCTCCATCCAGCCCCACTTGCAGTCCACTCCCGAGGTGGCCAATCGAGGCTGGCGGGATTACGGCAACCGCCGCGGCTTGCAGCGGCTCTGCGCCATGTTCAAAGACCTGGGGATGCCGGCCACAGCCGTCGTGAACAGCGAGGCGGCCAAGCTGGAGCACGTGGCAAAGGCCCTGAAGGAGTCCGGCTGGGAGCTTGGCGCTCACGGCCTGAACAACTCTTCGGGCGCTGCCAAGCTGAGCCGTGGTGAAGAGGAGGCTTATTTCAAGCAGACTCTGGATGATCTGCAGCAAAGCCTGGGTGCCCGACCCAAGACTTGGCTGACTCCGGGCTTCTCTGTCACGGAGCGCACGCCAGAAATCGCTGTGCAGTCTGGCATCGAAGCATTTCTGGACTTCGTGGACGATGACGTGCCGTACTACATCTCGCACGAGAGCGGCAAGCGCACCTTGTGCCTGCCGTACTGCATGGAGACCAATGACTTCTCTTGCGTTTTGACCAAGCACTTCGATGGCCGGCAGTATGCCCAAGCGATCGAGGATCACGTTCGCCAGCTGGCCAAGGAAGACGGTGAGAAGGTGGTGTGCTTGGGAATGCACACGTTTGTGGCTGGCACTCCTGCAAGGGTGCTTGCCCTGACGGAGGCGCTCGGTCGCCTTCAGCAAGTTCCTGGCGTCTGCTTCGCCACTGCGGCCCAGGTCTGCACAGCCATCCAGAAGAATGCCTGAGCATAGAGACGGTGGGCACAACCGAGTTTTGTTGTCAGATCTTTGGGCAGAAGAGTTGCCCGACAATTCTTCTTGTTTCGGTGCCATTGGGGGTTCCATATTCACCCAAGGGCACCACGCAGACCCCGCGCGCTTCTTCTACACAGAGGCGCTCGGAGGTTCTGTTTGTAACACCCCGAGAGATGCTAAAGTGCCACTACTTAGATTTGCATGTTTCTTCAGGCGAGAGACTCTCACGGCAGATGGGTGCCGGGCGTCCACTCTGCCCACGCTGAAGTGCCGTGGACCATGGTGCTTGAGTGGCCGAGAAGGTTTAAAGTTTAAACTAAGCCTGGAATGGTTGAATCCTGTGCCATCGCTCGCTCGGCCAAGCAAGGTGCAAGGCCCAGGGCTTCAGTGAGTCAGTGAGATGGCTCTCGGACAAGTTGGTATAGACAGCCTGTTGGAAAAATTCACGTCTGCTTCAGACAAGACGAGTCAACACACCTGTACGATCCTGCACGTCACCTTGACAATTGCTGGAGCATGGTGCCTGTTCTGGTGGCAAGCAGGCGTTCAGCCTTGCAATTGTGCCTGTGGTTTGGCTGTGCAGGTCTGGGCAAGCTAGTGGGATATTTTCCATTGCTCACGAAGACTCGTAGACACACTGAGCAAGGCCATGGCAGAGAAGCGCAAGCGCGAGGACGTCCGAACCTTGGACCTGGTCATCGCCACACGCGAGAACACCCAGAAGCTCGGCTATTTCGTCGACGACACCGTCGTGAACCCTGGCTTAGGCATCCCCTTCTACAAGACTGTGTTGGAGGGTGCAAACTACGAGCATGCCACCTGGAAGGATCAGGCGTGCGTCCGCACCTCGCAGATCCATTGGCGAGAGGATCACAGCGTTTCTTGGCTGGAACGGCACATGGAAATGACCCAGGGCTTCATTCTCCTCGGGAAGAACCCGGGCCTGTTCGTGCTGGGTGAGCCGACGCACGACCGCGAGGACTTGGACGAGAAGGGTCGCACAAAGCCAGACCCCGACCGCACCAAAGCTTACATCATCCCGGCAGGGATGGGCTTGATCTTGAAGAAGGGAACCTGGCACGACTTCCCGGTCTCTTGTGGCCCACCTGTATCTGCCTTCATCTTGAACACCGAGGAAGTCGTTGCAGCACTGGCGTCCATGCCCAAGCCAGCACCGATGGATCACGGGGATTGCTTCAAGCTTCGCATGGCAGAACACTTCGACTTCACGATGAAGTTTCCCGATCCCCGCCCATTCGTTCAGAGGCATGGACTGGTGCCCAGCCCAATAGCCATGCCCTTGATGGGCATCGAGGGCTACGGCGCGGAGATGTCGCGGCAGGAGGTGAAGCCTGGCTGGGCCGGAGGCAAGAAGGTCACGGTCATTCCCGTGGTGAACGTCGAGGTTTTTGTTCCGGGCAGTGGTGGACCCTCCATCCAGCCCCACTTGCAGTCCACTCCGGAGGTGGCCAACCGAGGCTGGCGGGATTACGGCAACCGCCGCGGCTTGCAGCGGCTCTGCGCCATGTTCAAAGAGCTGGGGATGCCGGCCACAGCCGTCGTGAACAGCGAGGCGGCCAAGCTGGAGCACGTGGCAAAGGCCCTGAAGGAGTCCGGCTGGGAGCTTGGCGCTCACGGCCTGAACAACTCTTCGGGCGCTGCCAAGCTGAGCCGTGGTGAAGAGGAGGCTTATTTCAAGCAGACTCTGGATGATCTGCAGCAAAGCCTGGGTGCCCGACCCAAGACTTGGCTGACTCCGGGCTTCTCTGTCACGGAGCGCACGCCAGAAATCGCTGTGCAGTCTGGCATCGAAGCATTTCTGGACTTCGTGGACGATGACGTGCCGTACTACATCTCGCACGAGAGCGGCAAGCGCACCTTGTGCCTGCCGTACTGCATGGAGACCAATGACTTCTCTTGCGTTTTGACCAAGCACTTCGATGGCCGACAGTATGCCCAAGCGATCGAGGATCACGTTCGCCAGCTGGCCAAGGAAGACGGTGAGAAGGTGGTGTGCTTGGGGATGCACACGTTTGTGGCTGGCACTCCTGCAAGGGTGCTCGCCCTGACGGAGGCGCTCGGTCGCCTTCAGCAAGTTCCTGGCGTTTCCTTCGCCACTGCTGCCCAGGTCTGCACAGCCATCAAGAAGACTGAGTGAGCTTTCTTTCGTCTTAGACTTGTCCCAAGACCGAGCACGTGGAACGCCCTCTTGGCGGTATGTGAAATGGCACATAATCT